CATTTCTTGTGTATTAGGATGATGCTAGCATTCTTCCAAGATTCTGGTACTTTCCCGTCAGGAGACAGCTCGTAAACACGGTGGCTAGTTTTTCTAACCCAATCTGTCCCTCCATCTTTAAGCAGATCTGATGTTACCTGATTCTCACCAGCAGCTCTGCCTCTTTGCATGCTCTACAAGGCTTTTCTGACTTCATCTATCATTACTTCTATCATTTTATTTACTTCCTCCCAAATAAATGAAACATTAATTGTATGATGGCCGTGCGAAAAAGTACGCGTTGGATGCAGTTTGCGAAACGGAAACCTAAATCACATGAAAACGGGCTACTTGGCGTAGTAACACACGTGCATAAGCTCCGCCCACGTAGCTTTGGCAGTGCTGCCACAGAAAGTTGTCGCCGAAGTATAGTTTCGTGAAACACATTGTATGCTTGTAAAACTGGGTGGGTATCAAACAGTGTGGCTTCCACGCTGACCTCCTGGGTGTAGCATTTTGGTTTGTTTTTTTTTTTTTTTGAAGGCTAGCTCGGCTGCGTTGTCAATTTTCACAAGACGACCTGCTCTTCTGTTGTCACTAGAGCAAGATTTTTTTTTCATTGTCAACGTAATTCTTCCCTTTGTCGCGATGAACAACGCACCCTATACCGACATTAATTGGAATAGCTTTATTGGTATACTGACATGTGCAGATAGATTCGTATAGTCAGCACTACTGCATAATAAGACTGAAAAACTCCACAGCGTCTTTTTCTTAGACTGCCTTTAGCGCCGTTTTCGAAGCCTGCAGTATACCCACATTCATCATTTATATCGTGAACAATGTAGTGTTTTTCTCTCACTTTCTCTCACACGTCCCGCTGTACACCACACGACTAAAGAAACTCCTTCTTAGCCTACCTACAGTCGCTCCTTTGTGTGAGACATCTGCGCCACCAATCCCGTTCGGGTCACATGACTTTCATCCCTACGTCGTATTATTCTCTTTAGCTGCTTTATTGTGATAGCAATTATATGGACCCTTTTGGCTTGGTTTCGCAGCCGGCATCGACGTGGACGTCGGCACCGATGTCATGCACTGTATATGAATACGTATCTATATATATGGAAATGGAAGAAAGAAAAAAATCTCGGAAAAAAAAAAGACTCTGACGTGCGGAATTGATCGTGGGACCTCCGCGTCGTGAATGCGAAACGTTGAGCACTGAGCCACCGAGAGGTACCTCCTCCAACGTTTAAACGGCAAGCTATTCGTATCTACCACTTACTGCTGTTGATGGGCATCTCGAGGGGGGGGGGGGGTATTGTGTTTTCAGCATTCTCAGCAAGATGGCGCAGTCAGCCCGCGGTGGCTCTCATCTCTCACGCGTACTTAGGCCCGCGTATAGAGAATAAGGTGGTGTACGCACCATCACGCGCCCTTATCTTGCAGTAGGGACAATCGTACGTCTTGGCTAGCCTTTGGGTTTCGTCAAAACCACTTACTGCTGTTGATGGGCATCTCGAGGGGGGGGGGGGGATATTGTGTTTTCAACATTCTCAGCAAGATGGCGCAGTCAGCCCGCGGTGGCTCTCATCTCTCACGCGTACTTAGGCCCGCGTATACAGAATAAGGTGGTGTACGCACCATCACGCGCCCTTATCTTGCAGTGGGGACAATCGTACGTCTTGGCTAGCCTTTGGGTTTCGTCAAAACGATTGTGCTGTAGTTACCGGGTGCACAAGGGTCACTGCAATTGTTGCACAGTCTCTGTTTTTTTTTTTTCATTTCTCATTCTCTCCACCTATTATTTTGGTATGTGAACACAGAATGCCCATTTTTCAACAGCTAACAGACCTAAGGAATCTTGGACAATGAAAACTCGGCGTATGTTGTCATTGGCGTATACAGCATGTCAGGGGTGGGGTGGGGGCTCAAATTTTTGTAATTTTGCATATTTATATGTACATACATGCTCACATGGGAATGTACAGACTAACAAAGATGAAGTATACTTCCCCCTCCCCTTCTCAACAGAACAACAATCCTGGTTGTGCTACTGTGTGTTGTTACTGAAAATGATGGCTGGTACCTCGTTTTGAGAAGGTTGTGAATCCTAACTCATTGTTCAAGAACGAAGAGCCTGCTGTTAGGCCATGCTGCGCAAAAAGTAATCACGCAACGCAATGTTAATTAAGAAAAAAAGAGGTACAGGAAAAGAGCCTCCCTTGCTCTTTAATGCACCTCGCGTTGCGTCATTACCTTTTGTAAAGTAATATCAAATTTCCTCTCTTTTAATGGCCCTGCTAAGTTCCCGCTACGGCTTCGAGATGAATCAGCTAAGGTTGTCAAATAATCTGGGTGTCAAGTCTGTCGAAGCGGCTTGCCGAGAACAAGATTGTAGCACGAACGTGACTTACGGGCTTGTTTCATTCATAGGTTTTCCGCAAATTTATGTTGCACAAGCGTGAATAGACACCATAGAGGTTATACCTGGCCTGAGACTGCGAGGACGCAGGTTCGAACTCCACTTCGCCGAGGAAGATTGTTTGATCTATTTCTTAAATCTGCAGCCGAATGATGCAGCTGAATGGTTCGTTTAGACATTTATCGGCATGAAAGTTCAAAACGCATTTTTAAAACGTGCTGTAGGTGAAGTCCTTCAGTCATTTGGCGTTTACGAAGCGTTGGCGCGCGCCCTGCTGCACCCGTTGTACGGCAATCACTCGACACATCCGATGCCTAACGTTATAACTGTGATGCTGAATTCCTCTTAATTCAAAGCAGTTTCCCTCATTTATGAACAGCACCTTTCTTATATCCTTCTTAAGCCACGTCTGAGTACCTTGCGTGATGTCATACGAGGATTTCGTGACATATTACTAATCTCTGTTCAATTAAGTTAATGCTTGCATCGTGCTTAACTCACACGTAAATGATTACACGTAGCATTCGTCTGACCGAACGCCTAATTTCCTTCCTCTATCTAGTCGTCCCATTAAAGTGTTTATTCTCTACACTGGAAGGCATCCACAAAACATCTCGATACACTGTGACTGTCACTCGAATATAATAACAGATAAGCCATGCGTATATCGCCCCGCACAAAGGTATGGTCGTCGCTATGTAGGCCTTTCATGCCTAATTGATGAATATTTCTTAGGGAAATGTCATCCTAATTGCATCTTTAAAAGTCGTTAGGCAGTGTCTTCACTATTCCCGTATCAAACGCCCATATTTGACAAAACAGAATATTTTAATTCCTCAGCGTTGCCACGAACGACTTACCTTTAAGGGGATCTTCTGAATGACATCATCAATTGTAACTAATCCAAAACCGCGAACTTTTCCACGAGCACGATTTTCATGAACTAAAAATTAAAATGCACAAGGATGACATTTTCCCGTATTTTCGCTGCTCCTTGTACGCACTGATTGTGTATTTTGATTGCATTGTGACGTCATAAGGTAATTATCCAACTGGAACAAGCAATGCACCTTCATTAAAATAAATAAATTAATGGATAAATAAATACTCCACACAGCCTTGATTGTGTGAAATTGTGCAGGGAAGAGACGAGCAGAGCTGGCCGTTAAGGCGCTGGCATAGTTAAAAGATTCAGCCCCCCCCCCCCCCCCGGCCTTCTTTTCCCACAGAAAGTTTTTAAATTGTCGCGTTTATATAAATACCTACACATACAAACACACATGAGAACGTGCAAAAAAGCGGGTGATTAGGCACTCAGATACCCGCTCACCCCCCTTCCCCCCTGAAAAATGTTTTGGCTTCGCCCCTACCTGAAGGCATTCGTCGCCCGAGACTGGAAGTAGTGGAGGTACTGAAATGCTGCTTCGACGGAAGTAGCCTAAGGCACATTCCGTGAGCCTCATTGGGATGAAGGGGTGAATGTGCGCTGCTAGACCCGCTCGATGGGACCTCGCTGAAGCACGCTCAGTCTAAGCAGGTAATTTGTATGAAATTGGCCCCACGACCGGGTCGTTGCGCACAGTGCCCTGCCTCGTGCGTCTATCTGTATGTACGGCGGGTATGAAGGGGGAGGGGGGGGGGGAGGCGATCCAAGCACGGAAAATGTCCAAGGCACCAAACGGTATTCTTGACCACGCAAGATGGCGCGAAGTGAAATAAAAGTTTTCAGGACTCTCCCAAGTTGCCGTTTTGCATTCTTCGCTTCCGCTCGCGTTGTTCTGCCGTTGTGATCGAACTGATGCAACGTGCGTGAGTAACCTCCGGCACTGCTTCAGAATTTGCACTGCGAGTATGCGGCTGTGTATTAAAGAGCCGGCTGTTAACACAACTGTATCCTGAAGTGGACAAGAGAGAGAAGATGTGAATGCAGAAAATTAACCAGGTTGCACCCGATTCGCTACCCTAAGCGAGGTGAGGGGAAGAAAAATAACATAATATAGAAAGAAATCCCTAGGAAAAAGAACTGGTATGTGCGCACACATAGCCGCGCTCACAGCACACACCCAGAGACAAGGACCTCGGCAGGGGAGTGCTAAAGGGGCAGCCCCACCTGCACTTGACCCCCCTGCTCCCCCCCCCCCCGGTCATGATGGAACACTGGATTGCGTGTCCTAAGACAAAATCTTGAATACACTCAATGCCCAGAGGGTCACAAACTGAGCACTGATTTTCTTTTTTCATAGTCTGGTTAGCCTGCGATTGCTTTGATGGACTGCAATCCACGAAACACGTTTGAGGTATCCAGAACTTGCAGTGCGCTTCAAGCTGACGGTGTTGTCATTCCGTCGAGGAGTGTGCCGTGTCTGGCTATGCGATGAAGTCATAGTGTTGTACCCGTTCAAAAAGATGATTGGTTAAGCGAATAGTTCTTTTCCGCAACACGCAAATAGAGTTCAATGTAATCGTTTCCTACCAAAGTGAGCCCCATGAACGAGAGTTGGGCAAAGGAAGGGGCCGTCCCGTCTAATCAGTCGCACACACTACAACGGCGGTTACTGCACGAGCACCTCACTGTGAGGGCCGTTGCACTCACCGTGACGACAATGGCGAAGAAGCGAGGCGGGGAATCCATGTCTGCGCTGCTTTCCGACCACGGGGGGCGTCTGGGGGACGCGCGCTTCCGGATGCGCCTCTTATACGAGGTCGGCCTCGATTCGGGTCAGGTTCACGGACGAGGAGGGAGGAGGGGGGAAGCTACGATCACCGGCAGCAGCCGAGCGGTGCTTGAAGACCGCCGGGGCGACTTTCACGAACAGCAGAAGCCCCGGCTGCACTGCGTGCGATGGAATCCCCCCCCACCGTTGTCGTGAGCCGCACCTGTGAGAACCGTCTTGTCCAGCGAATGTTCGAATCGTGGACAGAGGGAATTCATGAGCGTCTGGAGAGCGGCGTCCGCCCTCAGTGCTGCAGATGGCACGATGCGGCCGATTCACGCATCTCGAATATAACAGCGACGTGCAAGGGGAAACCCAGACCGCAAGGCTATATACAGTAACCGGTGGTAGTTTACAAGAGAAGACAAAATGGAGCACGCAAAAAGCAAGAAAAAAACAACAACTGTCAACAACAGCACGGCGTCTCTTCGCATCTCCTCTACCACCTTGTTGCGCGCGATCTTCGCGCTGCTGCACGTGTAAGGGAGTGTACGCGCAAATGGTGACGTCACTTCTGCAGTGGAAAAACCACCGCGGCAAAACTGAACGCCCGAAAAAATAATAATAATACTAATACGCTGGAAACACAACACACGATACCTCGCCCAGTCACATTGCGCCCACTAGTCCACAGGGCTAGCTTTGTCTTCTGCTGAATGAGGCAGTACTGATCGCATGTCTTACGCAGTGATGTGCTATGACGCATGGCTGATGAGTCATGACAGTTGATTCGTGAATAGGGATTCCCGTACTGCCTTCCACTGAGACGCTTTTTTTTAATTTTTAGCCAAACAATAAATTTACTATCTCTCTCTCTCTCCCTTTGGCGCGCAGTGACATAGGCGGGAGGGATGTACAAACTGCAACGTTAACCACGCGCTGTAGAAAACACGGAAATTATTAAACTACAATGTACTATTACGTGTAATTTGTCGTCGGGGGGGGGCCCAGTACATCTAAATGCTGTTATTGAGAAGAGTGCACTTAATGCTACTATTGTAGCTTACGCGTGTATGTTCCTACTTCCTTCGTTCATTGCATAGTTTCGCTTTGTAGCGGAGACGAGCATGCGTTCTTCTCGCTTTAAAAAGCACGTAAGCGTGCGCTGAGAAAATACATGGCACTCAATCGATTCCTTCATCGAGTCGCTCTATATAACATAAGCAGACGCAAAGCTTCCCTATAACAGAAGTCTCAAACACGCAGGCCTTTCACTAGCGGCCTACAGCTTCACTAGGAATAACATTCTGTGACTTCGCAAGGCGGTATTGTGGTTATTCCCTTGCCTATTTCGATTAGTGAAGCTTTGAGGTAGTGAGCGACAGAGACAGGACTGGCCTCAAACTTTGTTTTTGCTTTGCGTGCGTGCGTGCGTCCATGCGTGCATGCATGCGTGTGTGTGCGTGCCTGCGTGCGTGCGTGCGTGCGTGTGTGTGCGTGTGTGTGTGTGTGTGGGTGCGTGCGTGCGTGCGTGTGCGTGTGTGTGTGTGTGCGTGCCTGCGTGCCTGCGTGCGTGCGTGCGTGCGTGCGTGTGTGTGTGTGTGTGTGTGTGTGTGTGTGTGTGTGTGTGTGTGTGTGTGTGTGTGTGTGTGTGTGTGTGTGTGTGTGTGTGTGTGTGTGTGTGTGTGTGTGTGTGTGTGTGTGTGTGTGTGTGTGACGAATGTCATATAGTCACTTCGAGTTGAAGCATCACCGAGGAACAAAACAATCTCTCTACTACAGAACCGGCAATCATATTGTAATCATTGTTGAGATCAGTAATGACATGTTTTTGCAAAACGGGACGCGTCATATCCCCTTCATAAATGTTCTATCTATGACATTATTACGAAAACCTTTTGGCGTCCGCACTACGTTATGCCAAACAGGCAAAAAAGGAGTGTTTCACACTCGCCGTCATGACAGCAGGTGGCGCTGACTGACGCTCCCACGCTTAAAATGCACATGTATACCCAACAAGTGGATGGTGTGATGACCAAAAAAAAAAAAAAAAGATGGTGTGATGACCGCCCCCGTAGCTCAGTGGTAGAGCATCGGATGCGTTATTCGACGGTCGCAGGTTTGGGTGCTGCCGATGGCAACATATCTTTGCGTCCACTTTCTCCACATATACATTACAATTACTTCTAATAACACCCATTATTTTTCGCTAGAGTTATTGTCAGCTATTTCTCTTTAATATTGTGTGTAGCAAAGAAAACTGGCCCTTAAATTCGCACTTTCCTTCTATGTATGACACATATGATATTGGAAAGCCATTCTTACAAGTGGCAACGTTAGGCGGGATTTGAAAGAATGAAAGCCCACCTCGTGTTCCTTCGTTATGATAAATGTCAATAGGAACGTTTAAAATAGCGCAAGCAAAGCTTTGTGATAGTCCCCACTGAGCATGCGTTGGTCGCCGTGCATATCGCGGCCGCCGTTTAGTGACGGAAATAGCGGGCGACCGCAGCCACGCTACCTTTGCGTACGCTGTCGAAACTGCAAATTAGGCTGTTTTAGAATAGGGTGCGCAATAGCCTAATGTCACAACTAAACCCTCGCCACAACGCATTATGTGCGCGAAACTATTACACTAAAGAACTTGCACCAAAGAGACAAGAACCAGTGTTGTAGCCACAATTTTTTTTTTTTTTCGAGGAAGATGAGGGGGTGGGCGGAACAATACTTCTTCGCGTGTATTTGTATGTGTGCGTGAAGCACACGTAAGATCTGTAGTTTTCGCGCGATATAAGCCCCACCCTCCCCCCACATGGCTGCACCAGTGAATATCGAACGCCCTGCAGACGACCTTACGCGAGACTAAAGTTACTGTATATGTGCTACTTAAAAGTAGCATAGGCAGTAACGTTGCGCAAGATACATTCGCGTCGGCAGTATGTGCTGTTAAACGAATGTTTCCTTATTTTTATCTTATTTTTTATTTTTTTATTTTTTTCAATTTATTAATGGTTGACTTTCTACTCGAAAGCTATTCGAACTGTGTTCGATTCGGTTCTAAATTTCACTATTAGAACAACCCAACGTTTGAAGTTTCGCGCTTCAAGTGCATAATTGCGCGACACTGACCAAGTGCGTTGGTGGCGTCATCTAGCAAGCGTAAAAGGAAGCACCCAGCGTGCACCACAGCGCGGTCGCTTTTGAAATCGTCCCGATCATGCGAGTTTGGTTTTGAATGCCTTCATTGGCCCGGAGAAATACACGAGACCTCTGACTTCAGCTTTGGCGAAGCGAAAAGAAAAAAAAAAGTCAAGGCATAGTTTTAGGGTAGAGTGGATTACCAGCAGAGTACTACTGAGATAAAGAAATCGTGGAATCAGAGCCACACAAGTTTTGAAAACGCAGGGAGATTGCGATTACGCGACCTTTATTGAGGAAACCTGCAGGTAAGCGAAGACCATGCACCCAAACATATTCCCAATCTTATCAGGTCACTGAAGTGCCAAATCCAAACAACATTTAAGTGCCACAACTACTATGCGCAATATCACTCGAGATCGCCTCGTGCTGATCTGGCCACGCAATCTTAAACTACCTTTCATGTGAGTGTTCGTGCCTATGTTACGCTGATGCCACAACAACTGAAGACGAAACTGCGTGCACTGCTTCGCTCCAGCTGATGCATTTCACTACGCGAGTGCGCTACGTACGTTCCTGCATTTCGTTGTGGGCTGCTTCTTTTTCAAATCGAAATTTCGACTTAGAACAGCGTGATCAAATAAAGCAGTGGTACTCAAACGAGTGTTCGCCGACCCCAGGAGGACTGCGAAGCTCTGCGAAAGTCATCCTCGGAAAAAAAATTGCTTTTCGGAGGCACACTATATGATTCGTGACAGCGGCCCCTTCAGAACTTTTTTTTCTCCATCTCCATCCTCTCCGCCTCATTTCTCTCACGTCAAGGAGTTCCCGTCGCTTTCAGTGGTCCACAAGGGGTTCTGAAACATCCCTGGCTGAGATAACACTGAAATAAAGATAAGCCTCTGAGAACAAGGGTCCACTTCTGTGGTCATTTGACACATACTTATATTGTACCCACAGAAGCTCGCCTCTCGTGTGACACGTTGCTCAGCGCGCAAGCAGTAGTTACAAGGCACTTGCATTCAGCCACAGTATGCGGAACCAAGAAAAGAAAAAAAAAGTTGGCAAGCGTGGAAGAAAATACGTACAGGCTGTTTCACACTTTGGGGAAATCTCGGAGTACGAGGCATCTTGATGCGGCCAGCTCCGCAGCCACGCGCCGTCAGCTGCCGGCGCGTGCGCAGATGATTCAGGAGGATAGTTTTGAACTACGTCGTCTGCTACGGCGGTTCTTGCTTGCCGCATTGCTGGCGAGCGTGTGGATATATGAATTCATTACAGGAACTGAGTCAATAATCTGCACTAAACGTTGTGCCAGTTGGCACACCTCATGTGTGTGTGTGTTTCTGTGTCTTCTTATCTGTGCACGGCTTCGTCTAAAGGCCGTGGAATCGCCGCCCCAATCACCAAACCTGAATGTCATCGAAAATGTCTGGGGCTTCATGAAAACGTCACTGGCACGCCATCCTCTACACGGGCTGTGCGAGGATCGGTTGAGGTCCGCCATCGTCAGCGAGCGGGACGCCCTGCGAGTGAATACATCGCTCATCAAGTCACCAAGTCACTGTACGCCTTACTGCCGTAGAGAATGAGCGCCGTCATCACTGCCACTGGTGACATGACAAGGTACTAAGTGGGATGCGTCCCTAGCCGCTTAGCGAGTCTTGTGGTAATGAAATGTCGTTGAAAAGAGACACTTTCCGGCTTTGTCCTCACCTAAAACATTCCTGATTTAGTTCCAATTTGTTTTATCACTTTAAATCAGTGCATCAACACAACTCTTAAGCCCAAACTCCATAAGCGCGAAAATGCACGCGACAGCGACGAGCGACGCGACGTAGATCGGCGTCGCGCGATCAGTCGCTAG